ACCTTTCTTTATCCAATAGAACACACATAAAAAGCAACGCTCACTATAATAGTCTAAGACACTTTTATTAAAAAAACGAACAGTGTAATTTTATGACGATAATAATTCTAATTAGAAAATTTATTATTAATTATTAATTAGAACCACGGCTATATTCGTGAAGAAAGCCGGCGTATAGTACAGTGTCTGCAGTTGATAATCGTGACGTCGAAACAGGCTACTTGCTTATTTTGCTGACACAGCTGTCTGAAAAACTTGCTAACTTGTTTTTTTTACCACACCTATTTACAATTTAAAAAATAAAAGAATACCATACAGCGGTCACGCGGGTTTTACCACGAACTTAAGATATAACATGGCATTATTATTATTATTAAGATATACAGATCTGCGACTGTATTGAGATTGCCAATCCGGCTCTGATAAACTGAACCTTTAAATAAATTTTAATATTTCGACAATAACAATTTTAACCAAAAAATGTTGACTTGTTTCTGTTCATTTGTATGGTCACAGTTTGTTTTATTAATTAATATCAGTCTTTTTCAAAGTGAATGTTTATAAGTTTATTATTGTTATATTCTCTCAACATGCCATCTTCATTGTGAACCTCGCATTTCTTAAGTTACCTTCTTTTTGTAATTATAATGTACTAATTAAAAAATTTTTTGTAAAAATTGTAGAACTCCTGAAGAAGAGTATGATTTTCTCGAAAGCTTGAGCAGTAATAAAGAATTTTCAACCTTTATTGTTTTTTCCCAAGACTATATTACCCAATTATTTAACCATAAATTTTGTTTCTTAACTAGCTAGTCGCTAATACTTAACAATTATACAGGGTGTTTATTAATTGAATGCCGATACATAAGGGTGTGAATCCTTGGGTCATTTTAAGAAGAAAACTTAAAATATAAAATTTACTTTTTTATTATAATTTTCTTATCACTCCAGATATTTTTATGAAATTTTGTACACACCTATTAATCATTAAGGAGTATTGTTTGATGTATAAAATGTTTTAAAATCTTTGCCAATGACGTCCGTGCGAGGTTTGAACTAAACATTTTTGAAGAAAAAAATGGTACGCCACTGCTTTTTCTAAAAACTAAAATTATTTTTAAAATCTCCATTTATTTTACAGCAAATTCGGTCCCTAGACTTACTCTCGTACGACGCACCATTTGCACGTAAAAAAATGAAAACCAAAAAAAGTTTTTTCCCCAAGTTCATTGAGACTGCTTTTGATATTTTGTTGCCATTTTGTAGACACCCACCATGCGTGGAAACACTTTTTGTGGGGCAAAAATTAATTTTCTACTTTCACAAATGACGTTCACGTAGGCATAATATTAAATGTTTGGATAGAAAAAACGGTAAGCTCATTAAATGCCCCCTTAAAGCAAATGAAATAAAAATTAGTAGGCTGGGTAAAGTGTCATAATGTATTTATTATGTATTTACAGTAGTTGTTGAAAGTGTCCTCCACCCACACGTATGCAAGCATCTACTCTTCTTCGCATAGACTGACGTACATTTTCAAAAATTCCTGGGGTGTCTCTTATGGTTTGGCAGCATACTATTATACGATTTCGTAACTCTTCTTCGGTTTGAATCGGCACTGCGTACACTAAGCTTTTCAGATGACCCCAGAAAAAGTAGTCTAAACTATTAAGGTCGGGAGATCTGGGCGGCCATGACTGCGTTCCTCCGCGGCCTATCCACCGATCGCGATAGTTGTGATTTAAAAATTCACGCACCCGTAAGCTAAAATGTGGAGGCGCACCATCGTGCATTAGCCACATCTGGTTTCTTAATAAAAGAGGAAGGTCTTCAAGCATTGGCGGCAGATCTTCTTCAAGAAAGTGTAAATACGATTGTCCATCTAATCTTCTTGGGAGAAAAAATGGGCCTATCAAATAATCGTCAATAATACCAGCCCAAACATTTATTGAAAACTGTTCTTGATGATTTGATTCAACAATTGCAAAAGGGTTTTCATCCGCCCACAAATGGTTATTATGGAAATTTCGTATTGAGTTTCGAGAAAAACTAGCTTCATCGGTAAAAAGAATGTACCTGTCAAATAACGGATTTTCCAGCAGCTTTTGAAGAAACCACTCACAGAAATTAATGCGCAACGGGAAATCTCTAGGGAGTAATGCCTGGACTCTTTCAATGTGATATGGATATAACAAATTTTCGATAAGAATTTTCCAAACAAGTACGTGTGAAACATTAAATGTTGCCGCGATTTTCCTCGTGCTAGTTTCGGGGTTCTCCTCAATTTCATGTAAAATTCCTTCTTCAAGTTCCGGTGTTCTTACTGTTTCAGGGACTCCTTTAGCACTGTGGTCTACTTTTAAATTTCCGGTTTCGTGAAGACGTCTATGAATCCCAGAAAATGTTCTCGGATCGGGTAGTACGCGATTTGGATACCGCTCTTGGTATATCCTCCTGGCTTCGTATGCATTTCCGTCGGCAACCCCATAAGTAAAATGCATGTCAGCTAATTCACCGATTGTAAAATTTACCATTTTTTATGAGATTTTACCTCCTACTCTAATAATTTTTTAATAATGAAAAATCAATGTCAACTTTATTGCGAAAAGAAGCGTAAAAAATTATGACACTTTACCCAGCCTACTAATTTTTATTTCATTTGCTTTAAGGGGGCATTTAATGAGCTTACCGTTTTTTCTATCCAAACATTTAATATTATGCCTACGTGAACGTCATTTGTGAAAGTAGAAAATTAATTTTTGCCCCACAAAAAGTGTTTCCACGCATGGTGGGTGTCTACAAAATGGCAACAAAATATCAAAAGCAGTCTCAATGAACTTGGGGAAAAAACTTTTTTGGTTTTCATTTTTTTACGTGCAAATGGTGCGTCGTACGAGAGTAAGTCTAGGGACCGAATTTGCTGTAAAATAAATGGAGATTTTAAAAATAATTTTAGTTTTTAGAAAACGCAGTGGCGTACCATTTTTTTCTTCAAAAATGTTTAGTTCAAACCTCGTACGAACGTCATTGGCAAAGATTTTAAAACATTTTTTACATCAAACAATGCTTCTTAATGATTAATAGGTGTGTACAAACTTTCATAAAAATATCTGGAGTGATAAGAAAATTATAATAAAAAAGTAAAGGCATATGGCAGAACCAAAATCAATAGGTATTAGGTTAAAAAAAAAAATGGTAATGTAAATTAAAATAAAATATATTAAACAATAATTTAGGGAAATTAATATAAAATTTGTCAGTAGAATGTTAGAAGAGTAAGTAATAGATAATAAAGTTTAAAGTGAAGTGAAGGAAAAAAAGAGAACGTTATAAGAATATAAAGGAAGGTGTAAGGACCTTAATAGTCCATTGAAAAGTTACATTTGGGGTTGCAAAAGTCAGAGCACGCAATTTTATTTTTTGGATGTCAAGAAGGGGTTAGTGTAAAGTTAAATTCATGTTTGTGGAGTCGCAACCCTTGTGCTTCGACCGCCATCTTGTAAAAAGGGCTGCGAATGGTTTTTATACTACTACTTACTATATCGGGCAAACTATTCGTGGCACAGAAAATTTGTGTACTAGGGATACGACGTAAAAAAAAACGCGCCACCAGACTCTACCTCGTAGGGGGTGAGGAAAAGTGTCAATAACTAATTAACAACATTGTAATGTCAATCAATAAAATGTTTCTTATAAAAATCATGGAAAGATGAGAGAAAACTATGCCTAATCATTCATATTAATGTATACTTACTAGTACTGGAGAATAGAGAAAAGTTTCGCATTGCTGTAAAACCCTAATAAATAAATAAAATTTGAAAAAGCTTGTAATGGAAATTATTCCTTGAAAACCCCTCTATCCAAATGCTCTGATGTAATTTCATTGTAAAATGACCAGAAAAAAAGTTATAACGACCAAAAGAAAATTTGTTCCCAAATTTTTATATATTTTCGTTAATAACTTTGTTATTTTTGGTTCTACGACTAAAAGTTACGGAACCAAAATTGTAGAGAATTTAATTTTCAACAAAAAATGTATTTACAAATTTTCTGTGCGACGAATAGTTTGTCCGATATATATAGTAAGTAGTAGTATAAAAACCATTCGCAGCCCTTTTTACAAGATGGCAGCCGATGCACAAGGGTTGCGACCCCACAAACATAGATTTAACTTTACACTAACCCCCTCTTGACATCCAAAAAATAAAATTGCGTGCTCTGACTTTTGCACGCTAAGCCCAAAAAAATGTAACATTTCAATGGACCATAAGGAATAGTGAGGATCAAGGGAAAAACAAAAGAAAAAAAAAGAAATTAGTTACAGAATAAAATAAAGAGTGAAAAGAGTCAAATTGGAGGAATTTAAAAGTTGGAAGTAAGTGGAGCAGAATAGTAAAATAAAAAGGAAATTTATATTACATACAAGTTGATGCATAAAGGGAACCTCCAAAGGAGAAAATAATGTGAAATTAGTGAATGAAAGTAAGCTTCAGGTATCCAGTTTGTTAGAATTGTGAGATAAAGAACTACTCAAGAAGAAAAAAAGGTACTTCCGTAATTAATTTGTGTTATGAAAGTCAATATCACAGTATCACAAATTAGTTACAAATTTGACAGATCTAAACATTTAAGTTATTATAGAATCAAGATAATAGATGCAATATTAAAGACCATACCTTATTAGTGCCGTATTCAAATTCATAGACAGTAAAGTTTCACTTGAAGGCAAAATTAATTTGACAGGAACTGTCAAAAGTTACATTTACAATTAGTTAACTAAGTATTAACTGGACCTTAGAATTAATTTTTGTTGTACCAATTAGTAATTGACTTCCCTTAACAAAGTGAATCGAAACATTTTAAGAACTACTGAACTTGTTCTACAGCTAACTTCTGCTTATTAATTTTTACTTAAAAGTGAGGTTATATCGTTATTGTTTCGTATCAACAAGTACATTATTTTGATTTTTTGTGTTTATGCTTTGCTTTAATTACTTTATTATGGGCGATCAAGATCAAAGACAAAAAACTCGTTCGGCAAATTATACGCACCAAGAAAAAATTTTGCTATTATATATTATGTTAGAATATAAAAGTGTTATCGAGTCTAAAAAAGTCCGATGCGGTTACCTGGAGAGATAAAGAGGAGGCATGGAAAAAAATAACTGATATTTTTAATACTCAGTCTCGTACAGGAATATTTCGACATACAGCGTCACTCAAAAAAGCTTATGAAAATATAAAGAAGTGTACAAGGAAGGATGTTGTTGATGAAAAGGCATCTCTAATTCGCACAGGTGGAGGAAGATATGAAGTCAACACTAATTCAAACCTGGATTTGGCTTTGGAAATAATAAATCAGAAAACTGTATATGGCTTGAAGAATAAGTGTAGCGATGTAGAAGAATTAGATCAAGTCGACTGTGACAATGTGCAAGAAAACGTATATATGGAAGAAATAGATGATGACACAGCCATACTTCTGCACGTTGTTGAGGTAATATACACCCTTCATATTTAAAAAGAAACGTTCGAGGAATTGTTATTGTTTATATGAGTCAAACTTATTTTATTTCAGGATGATGAGGATAATACCGAAAATAATAAAACGGACTGGGGTAACTATAAACCAGAGGATTTTAAGAAACCTTTACATCCAAAACTATTACCAAAAGCAAAAAAAATTGAATCGTCATCAAGGAAGGTGCCTTTGAATGAAACTACAGCTACTGATGATAATGTCTGGCTCATTTGGGGGCCGTCAGGAAAAATCGAAATCGGGGCCTATTTGGTTTTGTGCTGCTTATCGACTCTCCCAAGGAAAACTGTCTATCTCAAATTTGGTTATACTGAGATAATTGCATTTGAATAGTTGAGAAAATAATAATGTTCGTTATTTTTTTTATTACAAGAGCTAAATTGTTCTTTAACAAAGTAATTATTGTTTAGGTCTTAATTAATTATTGATGATCTAAATAAAATAGTTTAGGATAAGAAAAATGGATTTTGAATGAGTTACTACAGTTTTCGTGGACAAAATTTTTATTAAGAAACAACTTGCTACACTAATAAGGTACAAAAAAATTGAACATTTTCTATTTTTAGATAAAAAAATAATTGTTAATAATCAATAATGACATAAAAGGAAAATTTATTACGGTTCAGAGTCAGAGTCATCTTCTTGGTCAATATTACTTTTTCCTGGTGGTCAGTTTTACTAGAAGGCCGAAGGGAGTTGTAAAATCCATGATACATCGGTGGTATCAAATTAGTATCAAATTAGTATCAAATACAGACCCAAAAGACCGCTTAATTTTTTACCATCAATTGGCAGCAAACCTTGATACAATCTTGGAAATTGACATCTTCGCGTTTGCGTGTATTTTTTGTTTGTAAGTCTAGTTCTTTGTGATTTTCTCCAAAATTATACACAAAAAATACTTTATTGGGAGACTTTGGATTGCAGTGGATTTCTCTGATTTTGCTGTTTTTTACAGCTTATCCGGTAATATCTTTTTTCCAATTTTGTTTTTTTACCATTGGTTTAAAAGTTACAAAATCTTCTTGAGACATTTCTTTTACTTTGTACTGTGGGGCAGTAACTTTGGCCATTTTTATTAGACTAATCTACTGATCAGGACTATCAGGAGTGTATATAGCAGAGTGATGTTTCTTTTGCAACTTCAATCACAGCATGTCATTTTATTCTATGTGTGGTCAATTTCAAGAAAACGGTGTATTATTTCCAAATCCAAAATTGTATGTTGCGATTTTACTTTTATAATAAAAATCGCTGACTTCTGACTTGGGCGTTACTAACACCTTCTGCAAATCAAAGCATTTATCATTTTTCGAAAATTCTTTATCAATGTCTTTCATATTATTATAATCATCTTCCATTTTTTCTGTTCTCTTCTTGGGATCTGTATTGTTATAGGCACTACACATGGAACACTCTTTTTTTGGTTATATTAAATTTCAAATTAAGAGGTATCCCTGTATTCTCTGAGTGTTGCTACTGCATCCCATTTTTGTTGTTTTGCATATTCTAAATACATTCTGTGCATTCGTGAAATACCTACTCAAACCTTCTTCCAAGTACATTCGTTTTGAGTTTTTTCTTGTATAATGAGAAGGCATACGTGGAAAAAGTTTTATGTGTTCCATAATGTTTTTTATTAGAGCATCTGAGTTCTTATGTGGTCTAGTGTTGTGTTTCCTCTTCTGTCCCGTTCTACAGTACCACCTTCACCAATTTTTTGCAAAGCGGTGCTTACAACGGATTAAGAAATTGCAAGCGTATTTAAGAACATCGTTTAGCAAATTTGTTTCTCATTATTGTCAATGACAAACTTATAATTGCGAGAAATTCCTTCTGGATTATTTATTATGTACAGTAACCTACTTTTTTTCTCATTGTGTCACACACCTTACAAAGAAAATCCCACTGCCGAGTATGATCTCCAAGGTTCCAAAATTCGTCAAAAATGACTTCGTTTCTTCATTTATTATTTTGTTGCATTTATAGCTTCAAGTTTCCTTAGAAGGTGATTTCATTACCTTTACAAAAATAAGTTTGGTTTTACGATTTGTATGTAATAAAAATTTCATTCAAATTTTAATTTATAAATTGATTCTGTCTCATTCACGCAGCGTGCAACGCGCAAACGCGGCAGGCATGACAGAAGCTATTTACATGCTGCCATCTGGATCGACCTTGCAAGGCAAACTCTCCCATCTATTTGCAGCTCAAATTAAAGCCTATTAGTTATTTCAAGCACCATCTTTAAAATACTAAAAATATACTTTTAATATACTTACACTTGCAGTACTTATTCTGTTTTTAAATAATTTTTTTAACAGAAAAAACTCATTGCGATAGGTGACTTTGATTCGTCATTTCTCCGGCTCCAGTACAATCTACGAGTATCTATTTGCAGTTGAAATTAAAGCTCATTGCAAGCGTTATGCCGCGGTCTGTAGAAATATAAGTATACTTACTACTGCAGTACTCATGCCGTTTTCTCAGATTTTATTTACGCTATAGCTCTATAGGCTACGTTCAAACTATTATTGGTTTTAAAATTATATAAAATTATATTAATATAGGTAATAAACTTAAACCTATCGACCCAGGATACAGGAAATCAATAATAGTTTGCACATAGTCCAAGGGCTTTAAAAAAATTTAAAGCTCGGTTATTATTTATATTCTCATTTTTTCTTCCGAGCACATAACTTATACGGCTATAGGGTAAAGGGTTATTATAAGGTTAAAAGACTTACAGTTTGGGAGATATTAATTTCTCTCGTTTTTCCTCCAAGCCCACGGCTTATAGATAAAGGAGTTATTAGTTTAAAGGGCGTACGGTTTGGAATATATATTTATTTCTCTGTTTCTTTCCGGTAGGTATACTGTTTATAGGGGTATAGAAAAAAATAATAAAATTTGTGTTATTTTTTTGACCTGATAAAATAACATTTCTATAAAAGATACAATTTTCATTTTTACGTTCTTTTTTCTTTTCAATTTACGGTGGCTATATCTCAAGAATTTACAAACAATTTTCTTATACTTTTGACGCCTCGTTAGTCGTTTGGGGGCCTATCTTTCAAAATAAGTTGTTATAATAATAAACCTCGTTGTTTCGCGAGGTAATGAGTTGCAAGACAGCGAAGACTGTCGTCGTTTAACGTACAAGTCGACACATTTCGAATCCGCGTAAATTTCCTGAAGCGTTTTATACCAAAAAAGCATCTGGTTTGTAAATGGAAAATTTGTCTGCATACGTTTTAATGAAATAACGTAAAAAATGGCGAAAATAAAAAAATAAAAATGCGCTCTTCCCGCGCGAGATTCGTACCGGGTCCCGTGGATTGACAGCCGGCGTCTGGCCGCTTGAGCTATCTCAGACACGCGGTGTGTTGTTCTTTTATAGGTTATTTAACTTTCCGTATCGCCTCCAAAGTCCACAAAAATCTTGAAACGTTCAAATTCCGTTTTTCGCCGCGATATCGATCGCGAAGGATGAAAATCGATCTCAGACGTGAAAATAACGACCCCTACGACCCGGAAAACGTATTCGACGACGAAAATCCGCAAATCAATTTTCAGTATCCGACGGTGGGGGTTCCCGACATGTCGCATCTCTGTTCCGCTCGAAAAATCGCCGCACCTCGCCGAGGAGCCCCGGAAAAACGCTCGCGGCTCACGAGAAAAACCTTTGACGCCGAATATCGCCCCTTTTGCCGACTGAGTGTGGAAGCGAGAGGAGATTGCACATTTTAAAGATATAGAATTAAATAAGTCCAACACTTGTCTAATGCGATTGACGTTGTAAGCACAACTTCGTTACTAGACTCTTCAGTGCATCAGCGCTACTACGGCGACTCCTTAAACTTTACATTGGATCATAAAATGGGATCCGAATTTGTTTGCGCGTCCCATAAGGCCGCATTTATACTTCCTGGTGGTAGGCGACGGGTGTCAGGTGATAGGCGACAGGCGACGTCGCTCATATCTGTTTTGCATTGTTTTAAATGCTACCGTTTATAGTTTGGTTAGGTGGCAGAAGACAACACGGCGATGTCACCCGTATCTGTGATATGCGGCAACTGCGAGCCACATCACCCGCGACACCCGCAGTATAATCTATTTCTCCGTGGCGATTTTTGTTAAAATAAAGTCAAATGTCTCTACAGACATGTACATGAATTCAAAAAACCTTTCAGGATAGTTCCTGAGATCTCGGTAGAGATGCTGAAATTCTCCATATTGACCGCATTTACCGGGTGAACACTGTATTTTCTTCTTGTTTTTCTTCTATTTCTATCTTCGTCTTCAGTCTCTAATACTAAAAGCGCACGACTCGTTCTAAACGACATCTTAATTGAGATGGAAGAGTCTGAATTTCCTCTTTCATTCCTGCATTCAATACGTAACACCGGAGTAAACTATAAATGCATTGTCGCCCAACACCTATCGCCTATCGCCTATCGCCTGGCGCCTATCACCTGCCGACTGGAAGTATAAATGCGGCCTAAGAGTCCACTCATTGTATAAACTCCATAGTACACTTTCTACTGGCTTAGCACTGACTGTCCCGCACTCTCCTCCACACCCCAATTCCAGTACACTTCCCAAATCCCCACTACCTTCAACATACAACTAACAGGAAGGGCGCGTCACAAAGTTTACACATTGAAAACAAATATATCTGCAACATGTATAAAAGTGTGCAAATATTTTAATAACAAAAAAATATATAACAAGATTATGAATCACTGTATAGTGTATACATAGATTTTATCGTATTTTATAACTTTTTTATACAGTAATGTATCTCTTGCCTTTCAGATTACACGAGGAGTTCTGCAAGTTGATTCAACAGTGTTTAATAACAAACTTATACAACGCTGATATTATGGGAAACTGCAGATTGAAGCTTTTTTGCGAATGGAATGAAATTATTAAAAAAAAAAGTATTGATACTATTTTACCAAAAGGATGCGTCTTGAAACAAATACTATCACTACAAATGTTAAATGCAGAAGACGGCAGTTATTATAATAGATTATTAAATCCAGGAGATTTTAAAGACTGGAGATATGTAAATATGTTGTTAAATAAAATAGATAATCGGGATACATGTTTAAAATGTACTATAATGGCTTTAAATAGTTCGAATGAGGATGAAAAAGTCTCAGATTTAAATTTTGTGCCATATATGATATCTTCAATTGCAAAAGACTGCTCTGTTATGATAACATTAAGAAAAATTAAGGAAAATATTAGGTAAGGTTTTCTTTCAATTCAGTAATATTCAATCTTATTATAGTGTTACCAATAGAGTATGAGTATATGAGAACAATAATAATAATTTAATTATTAATATAGTTATGAGTGTGTATAGGAAAATGTATAAATCAAAAAAAAGGCGGGAGTGGTTTGATAAAGATTTTAAGAAGGAAATAAAGGACGTTTAAAGACGGGCATGAAGCAAAACAAACAAAAATGGATTACTTAAAATAACGAGCGTTCAAATAAAAACGTGGTCAAAGTTGGCTCTGACACATTGGACGTAGGGAGTAGCTTATAGCGACCAACTTAACCTCATTTCTCAACGAGCTGTATAGCAGCTGTCAGTTTCAATAACGTTAATGACTATATAACTTTATTTTAAAGAATAATCGTGATAACAATAACAAACAATTAAAGGAGCTGCGGAAAGTGTCCCCCTCCTTGTTATAACAATAAATTAAAGCAGCTGCTGAAAGTGCCCCCCCCCTTGTTCCAAGCACTTTTCACACCTGTTCCTCAAATAATTAAAGACATTTTCTAAGATGCTCGGGGTATTGTTAATTTCACGAATCTTGTCTATAAGTCGAGCCTGCAGATGGTTTAAATCAGGAATAGGCAGTTCAAAAATAGTGTTTTTAAGGTAAGGGCACAAAAAAATTCACACGGCGTAATATCACATGACCTCGGTGGAAATTCATGTTCAGCATTGAGACTTATTAGTCGATTTTGGAAAACTTCCCTCAACATATTCATCGTCTCGCCTGCCGTATGTGCCCTTGCGCTATCTTGTTGAAAGTAAAAGTTTGTAATTTCGTTTTCTTCCAGCTGGTTAACAAAAGGAGCGATAATTTCTTCTCTATACCTTTGCGCAGTAAGAGTACCATTAAAAAAAATAGGTCCATAAATCCTCCTTCGATTGAGAGCACACCAAACTCCAATTTTTTGAGCGTGTAGAGAGCCCTCGACAAAAAGTTATCTGGTTTTTCAGAAGACCACATTCTCATATTCTGTGAGTTTACGTAACCACTTAAATGAAACCAGGCTTTATCAGAAAAAAAGGTGATATTATGAAGTTCACCGTAGTTAGTCGTCAGTGCCGCGAAAAACAACTACTCCGAGGGCTATTTGCCCCTACCGGCATTGAATTACATTTGCGACACCCAGTGTTTCGCCCTCTAATAGCGACATTCGTGCAATAAAGTACCTGGCAAATTTTAGCAGGTCGCTTCCACCGTAGTAGCCATTTGAATGGCATAGTGGAAGTCAGCGCGATAGATGGAGCCTTTGTGCTTCGCGTACTATTCACCGTAGTTGTTTAAAAACCATTCACAAAATACAGCCCGTCGCGGAAAATCAACTTCATGAAGTTCTTGCTGACAAGTTAAACGATAGGAGAACAAACGCAAATCCTTTTTTAACACTGTGTGGCAGGTACCGACTGATACTCCCACCATTTGTGATAAAACACGTACAGAAGTTCTTGGCGCATTTTCCATTATTTGTTGGACATTTTCTTTTAATTCTTCAGTCCGCTTTTTAGGTCGGCCGCTTCCTTCTTTTCTTGTTACACTGCCCGTTTCACGAAAAACATTAACACAACGCTGAACTACACTTTGAAAAATTTTGTACTCAACAACGCCGGGAAATTGATTTTGAAATTCTATGAAACATTCCTCAATAGAATACTTCCATATTCCATCAATCTTGCGTCCATTTCTAAAATAGGACTCTATGATAAACACTTTTACACATTTACACCATTTGAAACGCTTTTTAAAACGAAAATATTCAAATTGATAGCGGCGATATAGCGCTTTGACAGATGACGTTTAAGTTCATTTGCTATACGCTACACCCTACGTCCAAATTTTCAGAACCAACTTGACCACGTTTTTATTTGAACGCTCGTTATAAAAGTAGTAAAAAACTTGTGACAAAACTCTTAGTTAGCGCACAGTACAAAATTTTAAAAATAATGAGGTTAAATAATTTTACTCACTTATAAGGATTGTAACAAATAATACAAACTTTTTTTAATAAAGGTGAATTATTTGCAAATAAAGATGAAATATTTAAAAGATGGGTATAAAGATATACAGATATTTAATAGCAAACTTATTTCGAGATCTCTAAAAATTTGAGTATATACTCGTAAAACAGTAATGTTTTATTTGCAAATGAAATCTGAGTAATGAGGCAAACAGATCAAAAACTACTAGAGGAATCGGAAAGGGAATTTCCCTCAGAAAAATGTTCCAGGGCAAAAAAGTTTAAAATATGTGTGGAAGAAAATCAAACTTTCAGCTCAAAGATATCAAAATAAGTATAACCAGGGCCGGATTAAGAAATAGTTAGCCAAAATTCCTGAGGAGCCCGTTTGTATTTTTTTTAATGTGATAGATGAGCAATTCTCTTTTGATATTTACAACACTATGCAGGTAAAGACATTATATTTACGAGTGTGCATATACTGGATGAAGTTATAACTTTAGAAGGTTCTTCGCATCATTTTGACCAAATAATAATCTTTATGAGCCAAGTATTTAAAGTCATTGGTTTTCAAGATATACGGTGTTGAAAAAATAAGAAAAATTACAATGACATTAATGAGGCGAAAATCACGAACTGGTATTCAAACCTGATGATGGGAATACTTTCTTGGACATTGAGTAGCTTGGAAATTGGCCAAGTGTATTTAGTTGCAAATGCAATTTTAAAGAAAATATATATCTTTAATATCGTTGTACAAATAAATATGAGGAATATTTAGCATTTAAATCATTGACAGAATTTTTTAAATGCTTTTAGAAACAGTGTCTCTTCGCATATTTTTCAGATAATTAAAATGTATTTCGAAAAAAATCCCATTTGTCGTATTCCAACCTTCGAGCGATCTTCAGGATTTTCGCACTCTCAGTATATTCCCAGACGTCGTCCCGTACCTGCGGATATGCCTGAGGCTATCAGATCGGAAAAGAGAAACAGTCAAATTCACCTACCTTTCCAGTCCAATCAGAAAAGCCGCCATGGTCGGAGACCCCGTCGCCGTTGACGTGCCAAACGACGGGTAATTCCACCGCGGTACATTTTTTACCATCGGACTCGATGCCATCCGAAACCGATTTCCGCGACTCCGCATCCCAGTGCGGACGTCGCCCCATAAAATGATACCGATCCCTCCGGCGATAGCGCCGCCGAGGTCTAAAGACCAATTTCACCGATGTTTCCAATGTCACCCACATCGCGGCCGATCTCACCTGGGTCTGCCATTCCTGCGCTCAGTATTTACTGCAGTGGCCCTCGCAACCTGCAGACGAACCCCGGCACGCTTCAGGACGATATTTGGAAAGTCCATCAACTTTTTTACTCATCGTTTCAATTGGTCCAAGGACGCTATCGCCAATAACTCAAGAACTTATTGAGCGATCGGTCTCAAAATTTAATGCAGCACTCCTCAAGTCGCTGGCATTACTTCCCTAAAATTTCGTCCGATTCGGATGAGCAATAACGCCGTTATACGGGGAAACGTGGATTTTACGTTTTCCGCGATTTTAGCCGTTCCGCTCATTCCATCTCGGTCGAACCCCAAAACCATAATAGAGTATCCCTATGTGGTTATCACTTTCAAATTCGAGCCGAATCGTGCGACTACTAACGGCCAGCTAATCCATAATAGGATTCTACGTTTTCCTAGCTGCCGCCGGAAGTGTCCGCGCGATCTCGGCCGAACCCTGCAACCACGGTACTACTCCATGCTGTGCATTATCATACCACTTCTGAACGAGATCCATCCAGTACCAATGACTCCACAAGCCCTTTTACGAAGACGGGAGAAATTTCACCACACTTTCCAATTTTCCCGTCTTTGGGCCAAGAAGACCGTCTTCCGAGGGTCCCACCGCTCTGGCGGTTGGATACGATGATCGGTAGCCTAAGCCGAGACCGAGGGTAGAGTTTTTTCAAAATGGGAAACAACTCCAAAATCCCCGATGCCGACATCAACTATCCGGAGAGGCCAAAGGGGAACGAGATCCGACGTCGACAACGGGAGCTTTTTGGTGGACATTTTGGCGGACGATTTAAGAGCGCTCCGCCAAAAGTATGGAGATCCGAGGACTTTACTGGAAAGCGATCGAGCGTCAACTTGTGGCGTTTGCAGTTCATTAGTGGGAGTACAAAGCGCGTAAATGAACGAACAGAGCATATTTTATATGAATATATTTCTATGATAAAAACTTGTATATGTCAAGAGAACTTATTGTCCGTAATACTGACTAATAAATCTTTTAACATATCTTCCAAAGTTTGATGTAAAAACCCTGACACCAAATCCAAGACATTTGGAGCTCACAGGCTCGCTTAACGAGATTCCGTCAAGGCTGTCTACCTTCGACGAAATACCTTACGAGGTAATATAGTGCTTAGCAACCACTACTCGCTTCACGAGATATTCCACCCGAGGTAGCCCAATATGAGGTGAAAACCCGATCTGATAGCCAGCGGCTCTATCGAGACCCCGCATCAATCGAGGTACATATTCCAGGCTCCTTTTGAGACCTGTCATACCGCCCGGGGCTGACCACCTCCGACAAAGACCCTGTCTCCAACTGTGCCGGCTCTATCACGAGACCCGTACCTCGGAACAGCGGTACACATAGGCTCCAACGAGCCCTATCAAACACATTCCTTCGAGTTATGTAAATCCGGGGCAACTTTCCTCGTCAAATCTCTAGGTCACTCGTCGAGGCAACCTTCCTCGTCATACCCCTACGAAACATTATCTTTGCGACCCACGAGTTCAAAGCTAGAGTACGCACGTCATTGTGGCGGCGTACTCGAATTTTTAATAGAAGTCGTCCTTGCTTCTCAGGGCTACCTCGAGAGACTCATATTTAGTAGAATCAGTGTTTCTACAAGACTTCAGAGCAAAAGCTCGCTCTGACATTGTCGTACGGGGTAAGATGTCTCCCTGCGACGCGAAATCAAGT